ATTGAAACAGTGGGAACCGGTTCTCAACAAGAACCGGGTTTCGATACCCATCCCTAGATCTGGAAGAGGAAAATTGTGAAAAAACTTTGGAAAAGATATTTTATATATAAGTTAGACCCTGTATGAGTAATAAGATGAGCCAAATGCCAAACTAGATTGAGAACTGGACAGCTGGTAAGACAACAAATGTGAAGAATTACCGTTTTCAGTCAGGAATAAAATTCACAACCCAATAACAGGCACAAAGAGGGATTCAGAGACCCATCTGCCTCCAATGCGGGCCCACAGTGAGACGACACTTGTGCAGCTCTGTTATAGGGTATGGTGTGAGCTGCTTCCTACACAGAACAAAAAACATCTCTCCGTAATATTGGTGAGTCCTGCAAGTGTGAGGGATACGTTTGAAGCTAAATGTCCAAAATGCAAGCCTACAACATAAATGTTTGTAGGGCTATCCCTCTGCTCTGCTGTTTGCAGTGTACGACCAGAGATCAGCATTGTGTCGTGCTCTCTGTGGACCTGCTCTGCTTCTACCTCTGAAAATAGCACAATAAGGAGGCCTGCTTGAAATAGCCTTGTATCACATCCTGCTATACCACAGTTTTATATGCCAGGAGGCGCATATGAGGAGCGCAAGCGTTCGGGGAGCAGCTAAGGTTCATATGATGGACAGCGCTGACAGGCGTAATGATGTGTAAATTACAAGCGGGTCCACATCGCAATGTTCTCCCTGGTGGTGAAAGAGCAAACTCATTTCATAAACACAATGATCGCTAAAATATTCATAACAAACAAGGAAACAGGGTCAGACTCCCTTCTCCTACCAGGCCATTAAATTTCCTTTGTGCACGTTAATTAAGTCAACAAATGACTTATAAGATCACAGTGCCACTATAGTGCCTATAGGGCCAGTCTTCTGCATGCGCTCCGACAAATTAGAGGTTTTGTACAACAAAGACAGGAATTATAATGGTATGTGGTGAAGACAATTTGTATTGAGGCTGATAGTACGTAGGGAGCAGTGATAAAGTGCTGTAATAAAATACAAACAAAAGGCAGCGAGACAGATCAGACGAGACTTACAGCTCTTGGAGTTGGAGGTGCTGGAAGAGCTGCCATGACAGAGTGGTGAGAGGATTCTTTGACAAGTTTCTGTAGAAGAGAGAAAAACAAAAGGAATGTTAAATTGAGTTATTTTATGTGAATTATTTTAGGTCCCTTCCTTGATGTCATGTTTGTTCTGCTTTTGTACAGTTTCTTTTGTTCTATTTCCGAGGTCTTTTAGTTCCAGAAACCCAATGGCAAAGCTTTGTAGGGTCATTTTGACATTTTTCTCCCCCTTTTAAGCTAAAGGGAAACTTTTAGTCTCTTTGGGGTTTTTTTTGCGATGTTCTATATTTATTTTTAAACAGATAAAACTGGCATTTCCCCATCAATCTAGAAGCAATGAACTATAAGCACAAGTTTATGCCTTTATAGATGTTTGCAAATTTATAATTTAAGACCGAAATTTTTAAATCCCTCATTTAAGCATTCAGAACCGTACCTGAATACACAGAAGGAGCCATAATGGCAGCAATGACTCTACAGGCTTTGGATTCAGTTAATGTTAGGAAAAAACATAATGCTTTTTTTTTTTATAAATAAAATGGTTTGCAATGCCAAAACAAGTTACAAAATGGGAAATGGCCTGTATTTGTATAGCGCTTTACTAGTCCCTAAGTACCCCAAAGCGCTTTACACATCCAGTCATCCACCCATTCACACACTGGTGATGGCAGCTACATTGTAGCCACAGCCACCCTGGGGCGTGCTGACAGAGGCGAGGCTGCCAGACACTGGCGCCACCGGGCCCTCTGACCACCACCAGTAGGCAACGGGTGAAGTGTATTGCCCAAGGACACAACGACCGAGACTGTCCAAGCCGGGGCTCGAACCGGCAACCTTCCGAATGCAAGGCGAACTCCCAACTCTTGAACCACAATCGCCCACAAAACTCAACTTACACAATTTTGTCAAGTTTATGGGAGAACCCATCTCTAAAAGTTGCTTTGACACATAACTATAGAGTATAAAAACAGCTAGAGCAAATGATGCGTGTGTGTTATTTTGGGGGTGGACAGTGTCAATCAATTTCAGTCTGAATGGGTATTCATCTTCTACAGTTCTGACCAACTCCCTGTTCCTGGTTCTGAGAGGCACCCCAACAACAACCCCCAACTAAAACAGCAACTGCCATACTTTACCATTAGAATTGTATTAGCTAGATGATAAGATGTTCACCAGATACAGCGCTTTGAGGTCTGATTTCCAGTTCACCTTATTACAAACTGAAGTGCCAAATACTGAATATGAGAAGTTTTTAGTAAGTATAAATGTACAAAAGACAAAAACCCAAACAAAACACATTTTCACTTTGTCATTACTGGTTGCTGAGTGTATTAATGGGGAAAACACATTTATTCATTTAAAAATGGATCTGCAAGTGTCCAAAGAACCAAAGAGGTCTGAGTATTTTCTTTAAATAACAAAGCCACAATTTAGTAAAACAAAATTAAACAGCCTAATTGCAATGAGAATCCACATGCCTGTATTAATGGATGAAAATAAGGCAAAGTACTATTGACAAAGAAAAGGGAACAGCCCTGGCTGAGTGGAGCTTCAGGGCTCAGCCAACTCAATAAAAGTAAGTTGACCGCTTTCAAGTCAAATAATTCAATTGACTTAAGGAAACCCTCCGGCTTAGGAAGCCATTAAATTCAATAGCAAACAACCAGAGACTTACAAGTGATTTGACCAGAACCTTGAATTAGTTTAAATATGAACATCAGGCATCTATGAATACATTTATTAAATCATATAACCTCTCTGTAAGGGTTTTAAAATAGCAGTTTATCATAAAGCAGTGTACAACATTGAATCCTATTAGCTGTATATGAAGCATCAAAGTGCTCTATTACATCATGAGAGAATCATTTTATCTGATCATTGTTTTCTTTGCTGTAGTTTCAGAGCAACACTCGCTCAGTGACTCATACGTTCTGCACATTATTGCTGCTTTGAACTGATATAAAAGTAAAAGCATCTATAAGAGGAGGAAGAAATGATTTATTCAGTCACAGGAAATGACATGATGTAATTTATGATACATATACTGAACCTTAAAGGAGCAACTCAAAATATAATTCAGCAAGTAGATAACAGGTTGATTATCAAAATATGGATACCTAATTAGTAAAAATTTTAAAATGAACAGTTATCTACATATATCAGTAACATCAGGATTGTATTACAGAGCATAAGATCATTATTAGAATGTGTCTAAGAACATGGAACTTGTATAAACAGTGTGATATATAATTTAAACAACATTAAATTCCAATATTTAACATAATAAAAAAATAAAGAAATAAATAAAAAGTGCCAAATACACACAATAGAGTATGCAGTTTTAATATTTTGTCTTTCTCTCTCTCACACACACACTCTCACACACAGTCTAATATGTTAATTTGTATGGAAGACATTAGATGCTCCTGTATCCAGACGTGTCGCTATAGCAACAGGGAGCTAAGGATGTTGCAGGTCTGACTTATTTCCTGTGATATCACACATGCAATCACACATGCAAACACACACACTTGCAGATTTAGAAAAAATGTACATCTGCATAAACACACTCACATGTATCGGTTAAACACACTTGAAATGTACGCTGATGTGAATGCTCTAAATAGAGGAGATGTGTGGCAGAATATGTAAAGATGCTGCATGAAATTTCATCTCCAAAAGGAAACCTGTGTTCCCAAAGGGGTTGTATTATGCACTGAAAGAATACATTATGGGAGAATGAGAAAGAGAGAGACAGACGGGGAGAGAGAGGCAAAAGGTGGGCGAGCAAACAGCAGCTCATTAGTTGATGCAGAGCAGGGCTGCTCAACACCAGCATCAAATCACACATCCCGAAATAGACACATGTTTAGACCACAGATCTCCAAATAGGTACATGTCAGTTGACAAAAACTACATCAGCCATACATCAGACCAAAGGCCTTATAATCTAAATACATTAGACCTGAGCGCTCCAAACGAGCAAAGATTTCAGACTCAAAATAGACCTACACCAAAGCACAGTATAAGATTTTGTTGCTTATTTTATCATTGTAATGCAACATGTCATGAAATACCCACCCTTAGCCCTAGAGGGCAGACAGCACTAGCAAAGATCCAATTTCATGCATTAAATTTTTGAAAAATATTTTTCTAAAAATATATAAAATTGCTCCATTTGCAGAATTTTGTTACAGTAATATGCTATGAAAAGCTGCATTTTCTCTGTTTAGTAATAACAACCCAGTGAATAAATTATTTTACTAACTACAATGAGAATGTTGGGCCATTTATGACTTCTGCAATTTAAAACCTCAGGTATGTTTTGGCTCATAACTCTATTATACTCTATTACAAACAGCAGTTTAAGTCATAACATATGAATGTCTTTAAACCTTATTTTTTTTACTTCCATTACTAACTTCAGGTGGAAAAGGATGGCTACACGCGTCCATTCTGGGACAGGATATTGACAACAAGTTAAACTGGAAGACCAACACAGAGGCTGTGTATAAGAACAGGATGAGCAGGCTCCATTTCTTTAGTGGTGGAGATTTTCTATCACTCAGTTGTGGGGAACATAATGTACTTTGCTGAGTTCCACAGGGAGAGTAGACTGACTCTGTGATTGGCTGCCAACTCGACACTTTTGAAGCTATGGTGCAGATGAGACACCAAAGTTTTGTCTTTTTTTTGGATAATCTTGACCACCCTCTGTGGCACCATTTACTGGTCAGGCAGCTGAGCAGCTTCTCTGATTCAGCTCCATGGTGTTCACCACCACTAACCACCACATGGATAGTTCATTTAGATATACAGAAACAAGACTGAAGCTATTAAGCTATGAAAGTAAAGTTATTTGTGACGAGGTTTTTTGAGATATTGACAGAACTGTGTGGTAAGTCTATATGCTTGACTGTTAGCTTAGATAAACAAGTGTAAGAATGTGAGAAGATTGGAAGGCTTTAGTGGCGCTGGTAGGGTGCTTTTTCTTTCTTTTTTGTGAGTGAGCCAGACTACATGTTTCCCTGTTTGCAGTCTTTATTTTAAGCTAAGATAAATATCTCCATGTAGTTGTATATTTAACAGACTCGCAGCAAAGAAATTAAATTATTTGTCACCATTACTCTTCTTTGATTAAAATGTAATTCATAATGACTAAGTGTGAGCAGAGACGCAATTTATTCATTTATTTTTATATATGGAACTACAATGTGACAACTAAATAATCAGTGGAAAGCAACTCATGTTTTAACTATTAATACTCATGAGCCTTTCATTTAAGTGACAAATATGTTTTAGTTGTTCTACGCTTGCATACATTAAGTAGAAAGGAGGAGAGGAGGAGTGCCTTCTGAGCACAGAGTGAGACCTCCTTCACATCTCCGCCAGGAAGTGTTCTGTTTTCAAAGGTCATCCTTCGCATCTCGACAAGAAATGTCAGCTAAAATTGGATTGGGAGGGGGTAGTAAATGAATTAATAAATATATAAACAAATCAGAAAAGAAGCCATCAAAGACGAGGGAATGCCAAAAGACAGGGGGTGAGGAAGGCCAAGAGCTGCAGAGTGGAGGAGGGAGTGATTATTAAATTAAAAAATTAGCGATGTAGAAAATTAATCTATTTATAAACTAAGCAGCTTAGTTACCAGGCCTACCATACCAGGCTATACCATACCACCTCCCAACACACACAGCCACATACACAGTATATACTATACACTCACATGCACGCAGACTTGCACTGCTTTGACTAAACTGTAAAACAGCATCAGCATCCACACAACAGCTTTTAGTCACTGAGCCACAAATCATCTCCACTACTTAGACAGCGCTCATTTGAATAAGGAATTATAATTATGTGATTCACATGAAATTTTCATTAGGTTGGGGTAAAGGAGGAAAAAAAAAAA